AACTTATTTCAGCAACAAGACGACTTAACCAGATGGCTTCCTTGAAGGATTCTGTAGCTGCAACATACTCAGCTTCAGTGGTTGATAAGGCAACAATTGGTTGTAACTGAGATTTCCAACTAATACAAGAACCACACAAAGTGAACACATAGGAAGTGGTAGATTTCCTATTGTCTTTATCATTAGCATAGTTAGAGTCAACATAACCACTCAGTTACACACCTTCAGTACACTTAGTAAAAATCAAACCATGATTTGCAGAAAAATTCAAGTATCTCAAAAGCCATTTCAAAGCATTCCAATGAGGCATACCAGGATTAGACATAAACCTACTCAAACAACTCACAACATAGGCAATATCAGGTCTAGAACTAACCATCAGATACATGATACATCACAGAACCTATAGCATTAGAGTAAGGAACAGACTTCATAAGCTCAATTTCAGAAGCAGTCTTAGGAGACTAATTCTTACTTAGCACAAAATGAGAGGCAAGAGGAACATGCACAGGTGCAGCAGAAGACATATTAAACTTACTCAAAACCTTCTCAACATACGAAATCTGATTTAGAACAAGAGTATGCTTGCTCCTGTCCCTAATAATGTTAATCCCAAGTATCCTCTTGGCATCACAAGGCCTTCCTAAGCAGACAGACATGGTCACTCTTCTTGGGATCCACAAAGCCCTCAGGTTGAGTCATGTAAATTTTCTTATCCAATTCACCATGCAGAAATGCAGTGGTGACATCCATTTGTTTCATCTCCCAGTCATGGTGGGCAACCAACGCCAACATGATTCTAACAGTAGTAAACTTAACTACAGGAGCAAAGATTTCGGCATAATCTACCCCCTCTTTTTGAGTAAACCCCTTGGCAACTAACCTAGCCTTATACCTAATGTTATTACCTGGTTCTTCCTTGACCTTAAACAACCACTTTCACTCAACCCTTGAGCTGGCATTAGGTCTAGGAACAAGGGTCCAAGTCTGGTTCACTCTTAGAGAGTCCATCTCACTTTTCATGGCCTCATGCCATCTCTGACACTCTCTGGACCTTATAGCTTCACTATAGGTCTTAGGTTCATTTAGGTCTAGGGCCTCAAACACAGTAAAAGCAAAATCAGATATATCACACGCAGTAAAAGCATAATCAGACAAAGTATCATATTTTCTCTTAATGGTTCTTCTACCCCTATCCCTAACAAGTTGGTAGTCATGCAAATCAACATTATCATCCACAGCAGAATCATCAAACACATTGGTTTCACCAGACAGAGAATCATTATGCACATGGTCATCTTAAGTATTGAACTCCACCTCACTGGAGGTAGCAGTATCAGCAGAAGTATTAACATGCACATCAGAAGGGATGACAGGACCAACAGGAGGAGTGTCATACATAACATAAGGAATAATAGGTACATAAGGGGCCTGAGACTCCACCTCAACAGGTGTCCTCTCAGGTTCATTCTCAGAAATAGGTTTAAGCAAGAAAGGGAAATCAAATTCATTGAAAATTACATCCCTACTTATAACCACCTTAAAACCAGGCACACTTCTATCCCACAACCTATATCCCTTTACCCCATCAGGATAACCCAAGAAAACACACTTTTTGGATCTAGGATCTAACTTATCAGTTTTCTGATGAACATAGGCAGCACACCCAAAGACCCTAAGGTTTGTTAGGTCAAGAGGCCCACCAGTAAACTTAACTTTAGGGCATTGACCCCCTATGGGAAGAGAGGGAGATCTATTAATCAGATAGGTGGCAGTGGTGACTGCTTCACCCCAAAACTTCTTAGGTAAACCTGAGGTAGACAACATACTTCTAACCTTGTCAAGAAGGGTTCTATTCATCCTTTCAGCCACCCCATTCTGTCGGGGGGTGTAAGGCACAGTCTTATGTCTCCTAATGCCTGAAGTGGCACACAGTTGGTCAAACTCTTGGTTACAGAACTCTAGGCCATTATCAGTCTAAGGGTCTTAACATTCTGTCCAGTTTGATTTTCTACAAGTAACTTCTAGGCTTTAAACTTCTCACAAACATCAGACTTATGTTCTAGAAGATAAACCCACACTTTCCTAGAGAAATCATCAATGAAGGACAAGAAATATTGTTTCCCCTCATGTGTGGGAACACTGGCAGGACCCCAAACATCAGCATGCACATATTCAAGCACAGGGAACTGGACTCTATGTTGTTTACCAAGAACACATGATTCACAAAAAGTCAAAGAGTTCACAAAGTCTTTACCAAAGTAACCATGTTTATGCATGATCCCTAAACCTTTATTACTCATATGCCCTAGTCTATTATGCCACAACAAGGTTTTATCAGTATGCACAACATTCACAGCATTCACAGAGTCAATATAAGGTTTAGCATGACACACATAAAAATTGTTCACCTTCTCACCTTTAAACAACACCAGAGAATTTTTCAAAATTTTCATACTACCATTCCTCCACTTTCCCTCTAATCCACTACCCTCCAAGGCAGCAACAGATAGCAAGTTGTGACACAAATCAGGGACATGCCTCACATTCTTAAGAGTAAACCCAGAGCCACAAGAAAACTTGAGACATATATCACCAACACCCAAAACATTGCATCTCTTATAATCAGCCAAGGAAACATAACTCATATCACATTTCTCATATTTAGAAAACAAATCCCTAAAAGGAGTCATATGATAGGTACAACCAGAATCAATTAACCATTCATGCTTAGTCAAGGTATTACGAACAGAATTAACATGGTCACACACCATGAGAACCTCACCAAGGTCATCTCTCTCTATAGCTACACTAGCCTGCTCAGGTTTCTTAGGATGGGGACAGTCCTTTATAAAGTGGCTAGAATTGCCACAGTTGTAGCACACACGTTTTCTAGACTTATTCCTCTTCTTACCATTTGGGTTACTATTTTTCGCTTGGGCATCCTGTTTCTGATTCTTAGACCTACTCTTAGATCTACCCCTCACAAACATAGCCTCACCCGAATCCTTGGATTGACTAGAGATACTCCTGTTATGTTTAAGGTCAAGCTCTTTACTCTTAAGACCATTCACAACAATATCAAGAGTGACATCATGTCTACCATATTTAATAGCAGATTTAACATCATTATAAGAATCAGGAATAACATTAAGCAACACAACAGCAGTATAATCATCAATATGTTTATCACCAGATTGTTTAATGTTCTGGATCAACTTATTAAAATATCCAAGTTTTCATCAATGTCTTTGGTTAGGTCTAGCCTAAACCGAAAGAATTTTTCAAGCAAAAACAGTTTACCAGGCAGAGAGGTATCAGTATAAAGCTCATCTAACTTATCCCACAACTTTTTAGCAGAATCTAAAATACCAACCTTTCTAAGCACAGAGTCAGATAGGTTAAGATATATAGTAGAGCAGGCAGTTTCATTCATTTCAGCTTTCTTAGCACTATCATCAGAATCCAAATAAAGTTCATTTACAGCTCTGAAAACCTTTTGTTGGATTAAAACACATTTGATCTTTTGTTTCCAAATGTCAAAATCAGTTTTTCCATTAAAAGGTAACATACCATACATATTGGCAGACATAGGAGTAGACATAATGATGAACGCAATAAGGATAACACTGAAGAATCAGTGGCAGAAGACAAGGTAAATGAAAGATAACAAACAGAGAGACAGAGAACCAAGGAGCTAGGGTTCACCAGTGTACCCGGCTGCGGGCTGACAGGCCACACAGATCCGAAGGCCACTAGAGTGGCTGGCAGGGAACCTGTCAGTCCTAACCTCAGGTGTCGAGTCAAAGAGGCAGAAATCCCAGTTCACAAGGGTACCAAGTAAGCACAAAAGGTCAGTAAAGCAGAGATAAACACGCAAAGGAGACAGAAACATGGAATACCAGTTCAAAACCTCAATCCCGCAAACACAAAACACTCATGCAGACCAACTTCACACACGAAGGTAAAGAGAACGCACCTGGGAAACGTCAGTTACAACTGACAGCCAGACCAACACGGTCAGCAGCAAGAGCAAAGCGGGGAAAGCGATGAAGCGCGTAAAAAACACCAAGAAACACACAAAACCGGAGGCACCCGGCTACCTAGGGTGTTTATCACCAATTTACCTGCGCGAAAACCCGAGGATGGGCTTCTCGACTTACCACTGAAACGGAGATCTGCGGCGGATGGCGGCGGAGGAGCTCCCAGGCTGTAGACGAGGACGATAGGAGTTCCGGCTCTGATACCACTGTCAGGTTTTCACCTCTCTAGCTCAGACCACGCTCATACAGCACACACACCAAAGCACCACTGGAAGGGACAAGAACACTCAGGCCAGCTCAGCCATCTCAACGCACGCCAAAGGTCAGAAAAGAGGAAACACAGAGAGAAGACCACAGAGGGACCGGAATGGAGAAGAGACTGGAGTCTCTCTCACTATTCTCTCTTAACCTCACTCTCTCTCTAACCGAAGACCTCTGCGTCAACCAAAGATGAAGAGGGGCTTAAGTACCTGGGCAAGAGGGGAAGCCCTAAAGGAGGGTTCCAGAAGAAGGGCTAGCGGCAGAACAACTTGGGCCGGGGCAAGAGGCAATCAAACAGGCCCAACAAGTGTGAAGAGGGCTGCCTTGGCCCGTGGGGCCAATACCTCCACACACCGGTCTTGCCAAAATCTGCGCAGGCAATGAAGGATTTTTCACCAAGGTCACAATGCCTCTCTCTTTGGAAAAGAAATAGGCAGTGCACACTCCGATGACTATGTCGCCGCATATCACTACCTTTGTGGGATGTGTAGACTTCATTATAATGTTCTTTATACATCTGAGATGCTTAATACTAGAGAAAGCCATACTCAATGAAGATGATTTGATGTTCAATGTTGAGTTCTATGCTTTGTGAAGATGTTTGATCATATGGTCCTAATACTCAATAGTTGAAAAAATATACTCAATGAAGATGTTTTTTTTAGTGAAATAGATTTAATTATCATTAATCAAATCCTTGGCTAATGCCGATACAAGAAAAGAAGGAGGAAAATCAAACCAAGATTGCGAATCAGGCATAGAACAAGCCGCCTTTGCAAGCAAGTGGGACGGCTTGTTCGCTGACCGCCTAATATGACTAAAAGAAATAGTTTGAGAAAAACTTAGCCAAGTCTCCAATGTCATCTCTTAACAACCCCACCAACGAGCAACTCGAGCCATTAAGAATTTCAGAAATCGCCCCCACTGAATCAGATTCAACTTCGATCGCAATGTCACAAAAATCTTTCAACCAACTCAGTGCTTCCCGTATTCCGACTAGCTCAGCTCCCAGTGATGACAATCTGCTTGGCCATGGTTTAGAAACACCGGCTACGAATTGTCCCTCCGTATTCCTCAGACACCAGCCCAACCTGCATCTGTTTGCTCTAGTCCCCGCATCCACATTCAGTTTCCAAGCTCCTTGCAATGACCTGCTCCAGGTTGCGCGCCCTTGCTGAACTGGATGCACCCGTCTTCCCCTAGCAACTTGCATCTGAGCTTGCCGCCACCCTTCAACTAGAACTCGGGTCCAGTGAACAATCTGCCTCGCTGAAGAAGTAGTTCCCTGCCACACCCTTTGATTCCGTTCACTCCACAAAGCCCAACAGCCCCAAACCAGTTGCTCGAGATCTTCTTTCTTCTTTTTTCGGAATTCTTCGCAAACTTGATCCACGAAAGAGCCATATCACATCCACCTCCATTGCCACTGAAGTTCTGTCCACGCTTCCTTTGCAAAAGTGCAACGTCTAAATAAATGATCCAGCGACTCCGGTGCCTCTCCACACAGTCCGCAACTACCCGAGCAATCTTGTCACGCCCCGGACCTACCCGAACACGTCAACAACCCTCCGTACAGTACGAATAGTCAACCGCAGTCCAACTCATCCATACTATACAAGACGTCTTGAATACCATTCACACATCTTAGATCCATAAATAAACATAATGTAAAACATTCATTTAAAACATCGGAAGCATTTAATACGAGTGTCTTAGCCACACTTTGGCAAACATGGGCATACAAGCCCCCAAATAATTATTCAAAAAAATAATATCCATGAGCATTAACATAAGTGTTTTTTTAACAGAACGGGAGAAGCACGAACCACGTCTTCTTCCCTTGATTTCCCCGGAGCAACGAGCGATGGTAGCAGCTCAACTCCTACCTGAAACTGTGAGGTGGCCTCCCCCGTGAAGGGGAGGTCAGTACTTTGAAGCATTTGACAAGTACAATGACAACTATACTGGGTATAATCAACGCTTTAATTTCTAAGACCCTCAAAATAGGGTGATATCATAATATAAATATTTATTTATATTTCACACTTATTATCTCTATAATAAGTAAATTCATTTATTTGTCGGCACACCGCCCTTCTTATATATTTCCTTGCATTTATCATTTGTACAACCCAACCCGTGGGTCTTATTATTTCTACGGGATTTGCTACCGCTGTCGGAGACCTAATGAGGCTCTCGGTTCGGATTTCAACATCCCGCCCCTGGACTCATACCCATCATCCCGTAGGAAGTTAAGGCCCTTCGGGGTCCTATCTTATGTGTTACCGCTACCGAAGCCTAGTTAGGTCTCCGATTCGGATTCCACCCTAACCCGTGATCACGATGCAAGTCCATGCTATCCAACCCCGCTCTCTAGAGTCGAGAAAGGGCTGACGAGCACTTTGTCACGGTGCGTCAAAATAATTTTCAATACTAACACTTATACGTAGTATAGTGTAGTAGAGTTCGTATCCACAGGGAAAGGTATAATTCTCTTTCTATGAACTTAATGAATAACAAGGGGGGTTTTGGTTTGAGTGATTTAATTTAATTAAAAACTAAGATGAACAACCTATATGTGTTTAATTCAAGAATAAATGGGACTTGGCATTGCTACTTTCCACTTGTTGATATATTTTAGTCGATCATTGTTATATCTATAACTTATCCCCTCTCGAATACTCAATCGAGGAGTATCTCCAATTCATCGAGGGTAGTTATTAACAACGACCGTTCATTAATAACCCTTACTATTAATCAAATATAGAACAACGCCGTATACCGATATAATAGTAGCATTCAATCTTTTTAACTCCTTGATGAAATCAATTGAGATTGATAACCTTAACACAACGGTTTTGGTTTAACCAACAAAATTGATCCCTCTTAAGTTTATTAACCACGACCGTGCATTAATAAACCGAAGTCACTTACTTATGAAACCACCAAAGATTAACCATCGGTTCGTTGATCGTTTCTAGTAGTAATTAATGTCGGAACGTTAACTAATCGTCACTTAGCAACCCTCCAACATTAATATAGAATGAGATTAAGGGAAGAATTAATAATCAAGAGAAGAAGTTAAGAAAATAACTCACAACTTTAATAATCAACAAGCTTCAAGAGCAAAACCAAGAATGGGAGTTTAGCTCCTCATTTGGAGGCTAAACATAGCTAGAAAAATATAAAGAAATGCTATTCTAAACTGAGCTTAAGAGTATGGAAGAAGGGATGATTTTAAGAGGAGAAAAAGAGTGCTATTTATATGTGTTTTTCAACACCTTTGGCCGGGTACCCGACCGGGTATAGGTACATACCCGACCGGGTACCGGTCAAAATCATATAATCTCCCACGTTTCATTGTTCCCGCACGTTAATTTGTCCGGGTCAAGTCAGACCCGACCGGGTCAAGTGAGGGACCCGACCGGGTTTGGTCTAAATCAGATTTTTTTCAAAATCTTTGTGATCTTCAGCATGTTCTGGTGTTCCGGGTCATATCTGACCCGACCGGGTCGGGTATGGGACCCGACCGGGTCTTACTTTTTCTTCTTAGATCTGTTCCTCAACTGACCCGACCGGGTTCAAGGTCTGACCCGGTCGGGTTTTTGTGCTCCTGGGTCTTTTTGTCTTCAGTTTTTCTCCCTTTTTCCTTGCTACAAACTCTATCGCTATTCTAAAACTCCGAAAAAGAAGGAGAGAACAATTACAAACAAAATAAAACAAGTACTTACAAACGAACTAAAAGTGATGGAAAATCCACACTCAATCAACATAAAAACATACGTTTATGCAACATAAACTAGTGCATATCAAACACACCCACACTTGAATTTTTACTAGTCTCGAGTAAAACAAATTCTGTCCAAGGGGTCCTTAATTGACAAGAGTAGCAACACCAACATCCACAAGTTTTTATAACAAATACACAAAGCATCTCCAAAACCAAAAGAGTAAAGATGGGTCTTCAATTTCAATCCGAACTCTCTATAGTAATTGTCCTCAGGATCCTGCAAAATCAAAAGAAATAACTTTCTCTCATTCTCTCATTTTGCCTAGGTGCCCTTTCAGGTTTTCAACCCATCTTCCCATATTTTTTTTTGTTTTCAAATCTCACAAACTCACTCCTATTTTTGCTTTATTTTTGCTTAAGCTGCCCTTTGTGGGTTTTCAACTTAACAAGCTTCCTTTTTTTTGTATTATTATTATTTCTTTTTTTTTCTTCTTTTTTTTATAGAAAATAACAAGAATAAAGAGTGTGAATGTGAGCATACCGGGAAGATCTCCCCCACCACTAGTCCGTGGCACAGTCCCTAGTGCCCGCCCGCATCTCCGCCATCGAAAAATCCTCCATAGCCCCTATACTGTGTATCCTCGTCCATATGATCCCCGCTGTATCTGTCTTCCCCGCCTCCACCACTAGAGGTTAAGCCACCAAAATAACCCCATTCAGTGGGGTTGTACCATGAAGGTGCCGGAGGAGGAGTGGTCATGGAGGTGAAGTTTCCCTGATGCGCGATATAGGAGTAGATAGGCCCAAAAGTCCTCCTTTGATCCTCTTCATATCGGCGCCAATCTTCTCGCCTTTGTTCTTCGATCCTCTCGAAGCTGTGTCTTTGCTCATTTCTGTACAGCCCAACTTCCTCCCGAAGTTGGGTGTAATTGAGGTTAAGAGCATTCATGCTGTTTAGCATTTCTTGCTCAAATGGAGAGTATTGATGAGCATGGGGTTGTGGGCGAGGTTGTTCAGGAATGATGGGTGGTGCTTCAAGGGCAGGCTGTTCATTGGCGGCTTCATTGTCCCCCGCCTCATTTTCTGGGGGTGCAAAGTGTGGTGGAATTCCCCCGGGCATACAATAGTGGTGTCCATCACCGATTTGGTGATCGATGATGTTAAGCGGGAGGTTTTCGGAAGGGAAGGGGTAGAATAGTTCTTGGCCTGGTTTGATGTGCCAATTGTAGATTTCTAGGCCATCATGTTCGATATGTGAGAGGGTCACATCGCCAGCATTCTTTAAAAATTGAAGGCCAAGAAGGGTCCTGTGGTTTTGTGCACCATTGCATACAAAACCATATAGCGTGGCAATGTGGGTAATTAGACCCCCTATCAGAATTTTTCATCCACCACTTTTAACATTGATTATGTGATCCCAAAGAACTGTGGTCACATCATATGGCCCGGCACCCGAAAGAACAGCTTGTGCTAAGAGGCATACATCCCACACCCTAGTTTGATGGTTGTTTGGTCTTCCGAAAAAGCAATTGGCCAAGAATTTTAAGAAAATTCGGAAGACCGGGTGTTGGACATGGTTGACATTGAGGTGGGAGGTACGAATCTTGACAATTCCGGTCATTCTTCCCCATAGTTCATAGGACATCGGTGAGCTATATGCTACCGTGTCATCAAGCAAAGGTAGACCGAAGTGTTCAGCGAATTCTCGTTTGGTGAGTGAGCGGTTCTCGTTGAGAAAACGAAAGTTGATCGTGTTATTTGTGTGATCATTTTCATCCTTCACATGCTCAACGGAACTGTAGAATTCATATACCAAACGAGAATATGGCCAATAGTGCATATCAAATATTTTAAGCATGCCACACCTTTGGAATATCTCTCTCATAATGTCATGAATCCAGAACATTGTTAAAGTCAATTGGCATACAAAGCGGGAGGGTTTTACCTCTCGTTCGGATTGCTCAAGGAAGCGGATGTGTTGTGATTCGGTCTCAAACTCCACTGATTCGAAGCCCTCTACTGGTGGAATAGCTCTTGGAGCTCTTGAAGAAGAAACTCTTGCCATTTTTGGTGCCATGGAATTGTTTTCCTCCTTTTTTTTTTGAAGGGTTTTTGATTTTTTTGGAGAGGTGAGGTTTGGTGAGGGTGAGTGGTATGGTTTTGTAGAGGATGATGAGGAGAAGAGGTTTTTGGTGTTTGTTGGGGAATTTGGCTTGAAATTGGACCTTGAATGTCCGAAAATGGAGAGGTTCGAAATTTGGGGTAGGGTTTTGGAGTTTGGTTGATTTGGGAGATTTTGGAGGGATTAATTGGTGTAGGGTGGAAGAGGGAGGATAGGAGATGAAGAAATTGATGTTTTTTTGATGGATTTGGTGTGGGAATGGGGGAGATTTGGGAGTTTTGGTGGATGAAAATGGAGGTTTGGGGAGGGTTGGTTCGAAATTTGGGGAGAAGGAATGGGGAAGAAGAAGAAATGCCCGACCTGGTATATGCTGAAAAGTCGTTGACCCGGTCGGGTCCCCTTATTTACCCGATCGGGTCAGCGTTCCGGAGGTTGGCAGAATGTTTTTTGGCTGGAAACCCGGTCGGGTCTCCTTATTTGACCCGGTCGGGTAAGCTGCGTTCTTAACCAGTGAGGTCTGGTTGTTGATACCCGATCGGGTGAAATAAGGTACCCGGTCGGGTTTGCCTCTTTATATCAATTTTTTCACTCCCCCACCCGGGTAGCCATGCGGGTATCTCCGTCTGTCTGCAATACCCGACCGGGTGAACTCACATACCCGGTCGGGTCACCATATATTTTTTTTTTAAAATTCATTTCCCCACCCGGGTAGCCATGCGGGTATCTCCGTAATCCTGTAATACCCGACCGGGTGGGTTATGATACCCGGACGGGTATACTCCAAGTTCATGTTTTTTTTTTGAACTGATTTTACACACACACTCTACTAAAATAAAAAGAAGAAAAATATACCGTGCATGGGTTGCCTCCCAAGAAGCGCTTTATTTAACGTCGTGGCTCGACGATATCTTCTGTTGTTCCTCATTCGTAGACCGGTTCAGAAGGGTCTACGACTTCCACATTTTTGGGTTGAAAACCCTCAAAGAAGGGTTTTAATCTCTGTCCGTTCACTTTCAGCACCTCTCCCGTCTCCAGGTCCTGAATTTCCATCGCCCCGTGTGGATATATTTTGACCACTTTGTATGGTCCGGTCCAACGAGATCTCGGCTTTCCCGGAAATAGACGAAGGCGTGATTGGAATAGGAGGACTTTTTCATCAAGTTTAAATTCTTTTCGTATGATCATTTTATCATGCCACTCCTTCGTCTTTCTTTTGTATATTTCTGCATTGTCATAAGAGTCCAGGCGAAGTTCTTCCAATTCTTGTAATTGGAGCTTTCTATGTACACCGGCCTCGTCAAGATTGAGGTTGAATTCTTTAACCGCCCAATAGGACTTGTGTTCGAGCTCTACAGGGAGATGACATGCTTTCCCAAACACAAGTCTGTAAGGAGACATACCGATTGGGGTTTTGTAAGCAGTTCGGTATGCCCATAGCGCATCATCAATGCGTATACTCCAATCCTTCCTGTTCGGGTTCACTGTTTTCTGGAGTATAGATTTCAGCTCCCTGTTTGAGGTCTCCGCTTGGCCATTTGTTTGAGGGTGGTAGGCTGTAGAAATTTTATGGGTCACACCATATTTTTTCAGGAGGGATCCCACAATTTTATTGCAAAAATGTGTGCCTCGATCGCTAATTAAAATTCGAGGGACCCCGAACCGTGAAAATATGTGTGATTTGAGAAAACTAGCCACCACCTTGGCATCATCAGTTTTTGTTGCCTTGGCCTCCACCCATTTGGAGACGTAGTCTACTGCAAGAAGGATGTATATGTTACCTTGGGAATTTGGGAATGGTCCCATGAAGTCGATACCCCATGCATCGAAAATCTCACAGAAAAGCATGGGGTTTTGTGGCATCTCATTCCTCCTGGAAATGTTGCCCGCTCTTTGGCAATTGTCACAAGATCGACAAAAGCCGTGTGCATCCCGAAATAGACTCGGCCACCAAAAACCACTTTCAAGTATCTTCATTGCTGTTCGTTTCGGGCCGAAATGTCCTCCACAAGCATAAGAGTGACAAAACTCTATGATGTGGGCTATCTCATATTCAGGGATGCATCTTCAGATTATTTGATCCTTACAATGCTTCCACAAATATGGGTCATCCCACACATAGAGTCTTGAATCCATTCTTAATTTTTCTTTTTGAGATTTTGAGAGTTGTGGAGGAAATTTGCCGGAAACGAGGAAGTTCACGATATTTGCGTACCATGGTTGTACGACTTTGATGGAGAAGAGAGTTTCGTCCGGGAATTCTCCTTTGATGAGATTTGTGTGGAGGTCTTCGATGTCTTTGTGAGGAATGAGGCGGCTTAAATGATCAGCTACCAAATTCTCCGCTCCTTTCTTGTCTTTGATTTCCACATCAAACTCACTCAATAGAAGGACCCATCGAATGAGTCTTGGTTTGGCTTCTTTCTTTGTCATAAGGAATCGAAGAGCGGCATGGTCGGTGTAGACAATAACTTTCGTTCCAAGAAGGTAGGAACGAAACTTTTCCAAAGCAAAAACCACCGCTAGCATTTCCTTCTCGGTGGTGGAGTAGTTCTTTTGGGCTTCGTTGAGGGTTGATGAGGCGTAGTAGATGACATGGGAGGCTCTTCCAAATTTTTGGCCCAAAACAGCCCCCACCGCATAGTCACTTGCGTCGCACATGATCTCAAAAGGAAGAGACCAGTCGGGAGCCTGTATGATCGGGGCAGTCACCAATCTTGCTTTCAAAGTTTCAAAAGCCTCTTTGCATTCATCGTTTAGATTAAATTCCACCTCCTTTTGTAAAAGTTTGCAAAGAGGAGATGAGATTTTTGAGAAATCCTTGATGAACCTCCTATAGAAACCGGCGTGACCGAGGAAAGAGCGGATGTCCCGTACATTTGTGGGGTACGGGAGTGTTTGAATCACATCGATCTTTGCTTTGTCCACCTCGATCCCCTTTGATGAGATCACATGCCCAAGAACAATCCCTTGTTCTACCATGAAGTGACATTTTTCAGAGTTCAGCACAAGGTTGGATTCAATGCAACTCTTTAGCACAAGAGTGAGGTAATAGAGGCAAGAGTCAAAAGAGTCGCCATGGATTGTGAAATCATCCATAAAGACCTCCATGAATACCTCCACAAACTCTGAAAAGATGCTCATCATGCACCTTTGAAAGGTGCCCGGTGCGTTGCATAATCCAAAGGGCATTCGTCGGTAGGCAAAAGTGCCAAATGGACATGTGAAGGTTGTTTTCTCTTGGTCCTCCGGGGCTATTGGTATTTGGAAATACCCGGAGTAACCATCGAGGAAACAATAGAACTTGTGCCCTGCTAACCTCTCTAGCATTTGATCAATAAAAGGCAATGGAAAGAAGTCTTTCCTAGTCACCGAATTGAGCCTTCGGTAGTCAATGCAAACTCGCCACCCGTTTTGAATTTGGGTGGGCACCATCTCGCCATCCTTGTTTTCAATGACCGTTACTCCGGTCTTCTTTGGCACCACTTCAGTAGGACTCACCCACTTGCTATCGGAAATGGGGAAAATGATTCCCATTTGAAGCAATTTGATTACCTCCTTTTTCACCACCTCCATCATGGGTGGGTTCAATCTTCGTTGCGGTTGTCTCACCGCTTTGGCCTCATCTTCGACCAGGATCCTGTGCATGCATGTGGATGGACTAATACCTTTTATGTCGGCAATAGACCATCCAATGGCCAATGTATATTCCTTCAAGACCGCGATCAATCTTTCTTCTTGTTCTCGGGAAAGGGCATTTGAAATAATCACCGGTAGGGTGTGATTTTCACCCAAGAACACATGCTTCATATTTTCAGGGAGTGGTTTTAATTCCACCTCCGGTGCCTGCAAAACAGATGGTAGCGGCTTCTCGCTCGGAATGGTTAGCGGGAGGGCTTTAGAGCCCGGTGGCAAAAGAGGGAGTTGATTTAACTCCGCCACCATAATCTTCATGTTATTTGACATAGAGTATTCCAATGTAAAATCCTCTATGTCGTTTTCTATTGCGCTTAGTGCTTCATCCTTGCCCTCAATTTCAAATACATCTTGGACCCAAGCGTCGCAAGTGTCAATCGCAAATAGAGAGTGATTATCAGTGGGGTATTTCATGGAGTCGTAGATATTAAATTCGACTTTTTCACCATCGAACTCCATGGTTAACACTCCACTAAAGACGTCAATTTTTGCCTTAGCCGTTTTCAAAAAGGGTCGGCCTAGTAAAATTGGGACTGCATTTTTATCGTTCTCCATTTCGAGAACGTAAAAATCAGCGGGAAAGATTAAATTATCCACCATGACGAGAACATCCTCTACCACACCTTTTGGGTAGGTATTGGATCTATCGGCAAGTTGGATAACGACCCCCGTCTCATGTAAAGGTCCTAGTTCTAGGGACTTATATAGAGAATATGGGATGACATTGATTGATGCACCCAAATCTAACATAGCCCTAGAAGAACTAGAATTTCCAAGTTTACATGGTATAGTGAACATTCCCGGATCACTATACTTTTTAGGCAGTTTCTTTTAAAAAACGGCCGACACTCTTTCACTTACTTGGATTTTATGCTTACCATTCAACTTGTGTTTCCTTTTAATTGTGCAAAGTTCTTTTAAAAACTTTGCAAACCTAGGAACACCTTTTATTAAATTGAGAAGCGGGATATTTACCTCACATTTGCTGAAGGTCTCATAGATGTCGTTGTCATTGTTGTATCTCCGGTTATCCTTGAGAGCCTCCGGAAAAGGTGGCACCGGCTCATATGAGTTGAGCGGTGGGAACTTTTTTTGAGGTGTGATTTCCTCCTCCTTTTCTTCTTCATTTTGAGGGTTTGTGCTTGGCATCAAGATCTCCTCCTCCTCTTCTCCCACATGGCTCTTTGCTTTCGCCTTAGCCATAACCAATTCTTTGCCACTTCTCAAAGTGATCGCATGAGCTTGTTGCCTCGGGTTCGGCTCCGTTTGAGATGGGAGTTTTGCCGAATCCCTAGCTTCTAGCCTACTCACGGCGTTTGAGATTTGGCTCATTTGGCTTTCCAAATTGTGGATGCTAGACTTTGTGGTTTCTTGAAATTGGGCCACACTTTGTTGCATCGTAGTCATATTCATGGCTAATGCTCGAATCATGTCTTCGGTGGACATGCTTGAGTTCGATGTTTGGCCTTGTTGTTTAAATTGTTGAGGAGGGGGAGGGTTTGTTTGTTGAGGGGTTTGAGGGTTTCCGTACCTTAGATTTGGATGATCTCTCCATCCTGGATTGTAGGTGTTGCCGTGAGGATCGTACCTCCTTTGCCCTTGGAACCCCAAAGCATTGGCTTGCTCGGAGTTCTCCTCTTGTAAAGTTGGGCAAGAATCTGTGGGGTGCCCTTGAGTTGAACAGATGCCGCAGACCTTGACTTCTTGGGTTTTTGGATTCAAAAGGAAATCTTTAACCAAAGAAGTCAAGCCGGCTACTTGACTCTCCAACGAGTTGTTGGATTCCGCTGCCATAACTCTCTTTGTTGACCGCCGATCATAGTGTCTACAATTTTCGGCCAACTCCGAGATAAGATTCCTAGTTTGAGAAGGAGTTTTGTTGACTATTCCTCCTCCACATGCAGCATTGATCATCCGTCTATCATCATCGCAAAGACCATCATAAAAGTAAAGGATGAGGTCTTGCTCCGAGTAGCCATGATACGGACAGCTCGCACAGAATTTCTTGAATCGTTCCCAGAATTCGTAGAACGATTCATCATCTTTTTGCTCCACATTGCTGATTTGTTTCTTTAAAGATGAGGAGATGGAGGCGGGATAATACCTTTCGAGAAAGCTCTTCTTCATGGCTGCCCAAGTGTCTATGCTTCCCGAGGGAAGATAGAATAGCCAATATTTGGCGGTGTCTTTGAGGGAGAATGGGAAAGCCCTCAACTTAATTTGCTCCTCGGTAACACCGTTCGGGCACATGCTTGTGCAAACGATGTGGAATTCCGAAAGATGTTTATTCGGATCCTCTCCTCTTAGCCCGTGGAAAGATGGAAGTAGATGTATGAGTCCGGATTTCAACTCAAATGTAGCACCCGCATAAAGAGTTGGGAAGGTGATACATAAGGGTTGTTGATTTAGATTAGAGGCTGTGAGCTCCCTTAGCGTTCTTGTTTCAAGAGCCATTGATATTGACTCCTCGGACTCACTAGATTGAGAACTAGCACTTGAGGATTCCCCCGAGTCGGTATTTGAGAATTTATTCTTTAACCGCTCGAGAGCTTTTTCTATTTCGGGGTTTGTTTGGTAGGTGAGTTGGTTTATGGATCGGGTTTTTACCATATACTCAAACAAAGCTCAGCAAAAATAGAAAACTTTATATATTAATTTTTTTGATTTTTCTTTGAAATAAAATAAAAAGAAAAATAAATTGCCTTTCCCCGGCAACGGCGCCAAATTTGACGAGCACTTTGTCACGGTGCGTCAAAATAATTTTCAATACTAACACTTATACGTAGTATAGTGTAGTAGAGTTCGTATCCACGGGGAAAGATATAATTCTCTTTCTATGAACTTAATGAATAACAAGGGGGGTTTTGGTTTGAGTGATTTAATTTAATTAAAAACTAAGATGAACAACCTATATGTGTTTAATTCAAGA